CCCCTTCCCTTCCTTTTCTCCGCCCCGCTCCTTCCCTCTTGTCTCTGTTGATTTCTTTTCCTTTCAGTGTTGCTGGTCTTATTTTCCTTGCATCTTTGTATTGTTGGTTAGGTTCCACTTATAGGTGAGATCATATGGTATTTGTCTTTTGCCCCCTGGCTTATTTCGCTTAGCATAACGCTCTCCAGTTCCATCCATGCTCTTGCGAAGTTTAGTTCTTCTTTTCTTTCTGCTGCGTAGTATTCCATTGTGTATATGTACCATTATTTTTTGATCCAATCATCTACTGATAGGCATTTAGGTTGCTTCCAACACTTGGCTGTTGTAAATTGTGCTGCTATGAACATTGGGGTGCATAGGTTCTTTTGTATTGGCGTTTTGGTGTTCTTAGGGTATAGTCCCAGCAGGGGAATCACTGGATCAAAAGGCAGTTCCATTTTCAGCTTTTTGAGGAAATTCCACACTGCTTTCCACAGTGGCTGCACCAGTCTGCATTCCCACCAACGGTGTACTAGTGTTCCCTTTTCTCCACAGCCTCGCCGGCACCTGTTGTTTGTTGATCTGTTTATGATGGCCATTCTGACTGGTGTGAGATGGTACCTCATGGTGGTTTTGATCTGCATTTCTCTGATGGCTAGTGATGCTGAGCATCCTTTCAAATGTCTCTGGGCCCTCTGTATCTCCTCCTTGGAAAAGCGTCTGCCCAGGTCCTTTGCCCATTTTTTGATTGGATCGTTTGTCTTCTTGGAGTGGAGTCGAATGAGTTCTCTATATATCTTGGAGATCAATGAGTGGTTTTTTTTTTATCATGAAAGGGTATCAAATTTTGTCAAATACTTTTTTCTGTAACTATTGAGATGACTATGTGTTTTTTTCCCTCTTTGTTCTGTTAATGTAGAATATTAAATGATTTTATGTTGAGCCACCCTTGCATTGCTGGGATAAATCTCACTTGGTCATGGTGTATAATCTTTTTAATGTGCTGTTGAGTTTGGTTTGTTAGTATTTTGTTGAAGAGTTTTACATCTATATTTGTAAGGTATATTAGGTTGTAGATTTCTTGTACTATGTCAGACCCTGGTATCAGGGTAATGCTGACTTCAGAAAATGTGTTAGGAAGTATTTCCTCCTTTTCTATTTTTGAAAAAAATGGAAAGATTGGTGTTAATTTATGTTTAAATGTTTGACTGAATTCACTAGTGAAGCCATCTAGTCCAGGATACTTCTTTGATGGAAGATTTTTGATTACTGATTTAATCTCTTTTCTTGTTATGGAACTTTTGAGATTTTCTTGAGTTAGTTTAGGTAATTTAGGTTATTCCTTTAACCTAAATTTTCTAATTTGTTGTCAATTGTTCATAGCATCCTCTTATAATACTTCTAATTTCTGTAAGGTGAGTACTAATGTCTGTGCTTTTAGTTTTAATTTTAGTTACAGTCATGCCCCACATAATGACTTTTGGTCCCATATACCACAATGGTTCCATAAGATTATAATGGGGCTGAAAACTCCTATTGCCTGGTGACATAGCTGTAGTAATGTCATAGTGCAATGCACTATGTGTTTGTGGTGATGCTGGTGTAAGCAAACCTACTGTGCTGCCATCACTAAAAATATAACACATACAATTATGTATAGTGCATATACTTGATAATAAATAACTATAAGATGAGGCAAAAGTAGGTTTATAGTTGTGAATATCAAGTTGTGAGTAAAGTTGAATTTATTCTTGTATTATTATTTATTATTGTATTTTTATATAAACACCTATAAACATACTTTTGCCCCACCCTGTATATTACTGGTTTATATATTTATTCTTTTCATTTTTTTTGTATTTTTCCCTCATCATTTGTCCCCTTAAAACCTCTTCCACTTCCATGTGCTCCCTCCACCCCCACAAACACCACACTGTTGTCCATGTCCATGGGTCCTTTTATTTTTGCTCAATCCCTTCACCCTTTAGCCCCACCCCCCCAAGCTGTCAGCCTTCTCTCTATCTATGAGTCTCTGTTTTGCTTGTTAGTTTGTTCATTAGATTCCACATATGAATGAAATCGTATGATATGTGTCTTTCTCTGACTGGCTTATTTCATTTAGCATAATGTTCTCCAGGTCTATCCATGCTGTTGCAAAAAGGTAAAATTTTCTTTTTTATGGCAGAGTAGTATTCCATTGTTAAAAATGTACCATAGTTGTTTTATCTACTCATAAACTGGTAGACACTTGGGCTGCTTCCAAATCTTGGCTACTGTAAATAGCACTGCTGTGAATATAGGTTTGCTTATATTCCTTCACATTAGTGTTTCAGATTTCTTTGGATAAATTCCCAGAAATGGAATCACTGGGTCATAAGTCAGTTCCATTTTTAGTTTTTTGAGGTAACTCCATACTGCCTTCGCAGTGGCTGCACCAGTCTCCATTCCCACCAACAGTGCAAAAGTGTTCCCTTTTCTCCACATCCTCACCATCACTTGTTTGTTGATTTATTGATGACAGCCATCCTGATCAGTTGAGGTGATATCTTATTGAAGTTTTAATTTGCATTTCTCTGATGATTAGTGACATTGAGCATCTTTTTATTTTACAGTGTACTCTTTCTGCTTATAAAAAAGTTTGTAGTAAAAGAGTATGGAGAATTGTTTTATGACTAATTCTAAAGAATGCTTCATGTGCATATGAGAAGACTATTTTGCTTTTACTGGGTGCAGTGTTCTACGTATGTCTGTTAGGTCTAGGTGGTTTATAGTGTTGTTGAAGTCCTATATTTCCTTATAATCTCCTGTCTAGATGTATTTCTATTATTTAGAGGAAGTAAAGAGATTTCCAACTATTATTGTAGAACTGTATTTCTCCAAATCTATCAATATTTGTACTATAGAATCTATTCCTTTGAGATCATAGAATTTCTTACATTTTAAAAAACTTTTTTATTATTAGAGAGAGCGGAAGGGAGGGAGAAAGAGAGAGGAAGAGAAATATCAGTGTGAGAGAGATACATTGATTGGTTGCTTCTTGTACACACCCTGACCTGAACCAAACCCACAACCCAGGCATGTGCCTTGACCAGGAATCAAACTGAAGACCTTTCGCTTTGCAGGACAACACCCAACCAACTGAGCCACACCAGTCAGGACAAATTTCTTATGTTTCTAGCTGGAAGTTGACACTATAAACTTTAGTTTAATATGTACCATGTCCTAGTTGCATTAATAATTTGCATGATCAACTATAGTCCTCAAATAATAGCTATATTAGTTGTGATTATATTATCACATATGTGAATATAATTATATGTTGTATATTCCCTTTAATGTACACAATATATCAAATCAGCTTTTTATCCATAATACCCAATAGACTTAATTTTTTACTTCTAAGCCTCTGGAAATACAGATTACAAATTCTTTTTCTGTTGAAAATTTACTATTTTTGTTTGTAAAATTCTTAAAATATGTTGGCTACATATATGCTTTACATTTCTCTCTAGGTATACCACTCTACAAAGATAAGCACATTATGGTGATACCATTCTATAGGAGTAAATTGAGAAACCTAAATCAGTGTCAATTGACCATGATTTTCTAATATCAGTTTCTTTTCAGATCTTTGGGAGAAAAGTTGAGGCTTAGGCTGTTAGGGCAAGATGATTTATAAATATTTGAATTTGATTTCTTTCCTTTTGAGAAAATTATTTTAAAGCCAGTAGTGCTTTACTGATAGGATTCTTTATGTTTTAAAAGCGTATTCCATAATATTTTGCAAAAATGATTTGTTACAGAAAGAACTCCTGTACCTGTGGGTAATTATCAGGAATCTAAAGTTGCAAATGATCTGTGAATATTCTTATCTATCCTTCCCTTCCTCCAGTAGTTGTTGCTCCTTGTTTTTGGTTCTCCGTGCTGCTTATAATTATCTAATAATCCTTTAGGATTAGTACCTAATCCTAACAAACAAAATTATTCAAGGAATACCTATGGATTATGATGAGGAAAACATGTTATCAAGGAGAGATGAGCTGTTAATATTACTGTCCACTTTGTGCTCAACACCATGGGATTTACAGTAAGAACAAGGATATAGAATATCAAAGAAAAAATATAGAAATTGTTATTCAGTAGGCTTTTAGCATATATGAGCTATCTGAAATGTAAAATTATGTATCCCATACAAGTAAATGGTTTGCTTTCCTAAAAAGAAAATAAATTAGGTGATGCCGTTAAATAATGTAGTGTTTAAGACTCTAGATGCTAGAGGAAGACTGACCATATTTTAAAAATGTTGCTCTTCTGCCCTGATAGTGTAACCTTAAACAAGCTACTTAATCTCTCTAAACCTTGGCACTTTGGCCATAGAACAAGGATCATAATAGTATCTACCTCATTCAGTTGTAAGACAGTATTTAGAACAATAATACATTTTCATAAAAGTTTAGGTGTCTTTTCATGTAGCCAAAAGTTATTGAAAAAATAATGGATCTACTCATTAATAAGACTGAACAAAATGTTTGCTTTTAAAAACATATTCACCTAGTCAGAAAAAATTGAATAAGTTGTGTGAACATTGATGCTTTTACATCTATTTAGTAGTATAAATAAGAATGTGTGGTTCTATAATACATCCATTTCTAAAAGAATGTAATTGAAATTTACATTACAAAGTTATTTCCAAAAAAGAGAATATGATAATAATTATAAAATTTCACTTATTAAATATTTAGGCTTCTTTCAAATTTTTTTTAGGTGTTGATTGCAATGATAAGGGAATACCTATTCAGAAACCATTGTTGCCTCACGTATGCCCTCATGCTGAGATATTGAATCTTTATCACATTTTTTCTCCCTTAAAGAAAAATTATACCAAGTAGAATATGAAACTGGTTTATTAATCATTTTCTTTATTTACCTGTTCTATATACCATTCCAGGAAGGATATAAGACACTGTATTGAGTTAGTTCAATTTTAATACCAGCCAATTCATTGGAGGAAAAAAGCCGAATCAAATCATCTAATTGTGATAAAACAACACATTTGATTTTTGAAAACAATTCCACTTCATGCATTTTTGTAGGAGGTCACACGACCTGCAAACATTGTGAGTTATGTTTGTGCAGATTTTAGTAGGAATTAATTCTGACTACCTCAAAATTGTTTGGTCCAGCACAGTAACACTTATTGAACAAATCTGGGTGTGGTCTTCAGAGACAGATTAGAGACATCCAGGGATCTATTTCCATTAAATAATGTAACTTTTAATCACAAAATGCTACCTCCTAAGTTTACCACAGGTGATGTGCCTCTCAAACTTTTCCACACAATACTCTGTGGAGCACCTTACACTTCTCTGTAGCAGGTTTCACATCTATAGATAATAATTTGTAGATATTACAGTTCTCTTAAAATACAATTTCCAAGAGGCAAGTCTTTCTTATTCATTACTATATGTCCAAATCTTAATAATAGCTGGCACTTAGCAAGCAGTTAATAAATTTTTATTGCATGAAGGACTTTCGGAAATCACTTCTGATGGCCACTAGTCAATGCATACCTCCTAAGATATGGAGGCATAGTCCAAAGCTGTTTCTAACAAACAGAAAATATTTTTGAAGGCATCTGTTTTATTTACTTTCAAAATTCTTTTGACTTTTTAATTCTCACCCATTACATGTGTTTCTTACTATGTGCTATTTTTGAGAAAAATTGATACATTGGGGATATGGGTCAGAGTTTGAAGGATGCAGCTGTTGTGTGTGTGTGTGTGTAGTGTATGGGCTTTGGAATTAGGACTCTGTTCAAATTCTTGCCTTGATTTTTAACAAATATCTTAAACTTGAGTCAGTATCTGAAAAATGGTATAAGAATACATCGATTTTTGTCGCTGCTGTTTTTAAAAGGGTAAAATGAAAATGTACTTAAAATAGTTGGCATGCATAATGTATACTCAAGTATTGGCTTCCTTTTCCCCTCTCACTAGAAAACATCTAGTTTCCCTTCTAAGAATCTCAATTTATTTATGATTCTTTCCATTAAGTATTAGATGGTCAATAACTGTCAACTAAGAACTGAAACTTCTCAACATTTGAGCCAGGATTATGGCTATTCAACTGGGGAACAGAATTCTTTTATTGATGTAGTCAACACCTCATAGATGAAAATTTTCTAGCCAATATTTTTAACCAGTGCCAAAAATGTCCAAAAAGAAAAATTAAGTTGAATTAATTTTTATTACTACTTGTTTAACACAAGTTTTTGTCTTAGACAAGTAAGAATTTATAGAATCTGTGCTTTATTGCACTGGATAGAAATTAGAAATGCAGTTACACTGATATAGCGCAGTTCCTGGGGAATTGGCGATAGATCTCTCCAGAGCGCATGAAGATTCTCAGCGACTGTTGCAAGGAATCACAAAAGAGATCTTTGGTCCAAAGAAGACATCCCTGAAAGAAAATAGGATATCAATTAAATCTGTCTAAAAGCTAAGGTATATACTAGCCTTTTCTGCGTTAAAAATGGACAGTGATTTCCAGGATTTCAGATACGACTATTTTTTTTAGGTGAATAAAGTACAAAGAGAATGAGTGGGAGAACTTGCTACAGCATCAACAAAGACCGAGAAGGTAATCAATTCTACTTTCCTTCCATTTGCCATTGATATTTTGCTATCATTTCTTTATAAAGAAAAGGAAAGATTAGGTGATTTCAAAACCTTATAATCAGATCAAAAAATTCATTCCTCTGATTTGAGTGGGATGGATCATGAAGTTTAAATCTACAGGGAAGACACGGAAGATTAAAGATTTCTTATAAAGTCAATAAATAAGTTTCTAGCTTTCATAGGGAAAGGAGACATGTTAAACTGCTCTCATTGGAAAGATCATATAAGGTAATGTATAAAAATGCATGGAATAATCTAAAATTGTATACAGGTGCAAGGTAGCATAATTGTAGATCATTAGAAATATACTTAGTATATAATGTATGACATGATAACTATCGTTAGCGCTGATGTGTAGTATATTGGAAATTTGCTAAGAGTAAATTCTAAAAGTTCTCATTACAAGGAAAAATAAAATAGTTGTGGTAACTACATGAGGTAATGGATATTAACCATCACTAAACTTATGGCAATCATTTTCAATATATACCTATCAAGTCATTACGCCATATACCTTAAACTTATACAGTGCTATATGTCGGTTATATCTCAATAAAATAAAAATAGAGCTACAAATTAAAATATGTGTTTACATGGGATGAAAGGAAATATACTTAGCATGGTAAATTTATTACTACTTGGGAAAGGGTAATCTAATATCAGACAGAAATTAATTTTGTATATCTGTATTTCTATTCTCATCCATGAACACAAATAATCACAAAATTATATCATGAAATAAATACAAGTACATTTCTATAAATTAGATTCAAGTCTCACAAAAAGACAAACATGGTATTTTAATATTAGATGATATTCCACTTTTGTGGCCTGGGAAAAATTGTCATTTTGTGGAATCAGTTAATTCAAGTTCTAGATATCATCATTTAGTACAGTGATTCTGAAACTCTGTCATATATCAGAATCACCTAGAAACCTCGTTAAGCTTTAATTGCTATGCCTCACCTCCAGGGTTCCTGATTTATTAGGTGTCCTCTGGGGTCCAAGGATGGATATGCCTTTTTAACAAGAATTCAGCTGATAGTGAAGCAGCTGTTCTGGGAGCCACACATTAAGAACCAAGTGGCTTGATAGGGGAAAAAAAAAAAATCTGGCCCAAATCAAAAGCCCTGGGTTCTAGTGTTAGTGCTGATATTAACTAGTTACGGGAGATGGTGCCAGTCATTTTACCTCTCTGTACCTTTTCCTTGATAAGGGCAGGGTTACCTGCCCTTTCTACCTTACCAATTTCTTAGAAAAATTAAAATATGATGACATGTTAAAAGTAATTTGAAAATGCTAATGTAGGTATGAAATAGCGAAGATGATAGTATTTGAAAGATTCCTCAGTCACCAAAGGAAGATGATTTTAAAATCGAGCTAGAAATATTTATTGACCGTCCTACTATATTATACTTAAAATATATCAACTTTCCAAGTCAGTGGAAAACTTTCATTTAGTTTATTCCAAGTTAACTCATCTACAGAGCTAGAAAATTTTCTTTGACCATTACTAAACTTTCCTGTCCAGTTAATTACTTCATCCTGTTCACTGAAATCTTTTCTCTAAAGCCTTTTATTAGTTTTCAAATTGGTTTAAAATATCAACCTTGAGTTGACCGCTGTTGCTGGTAGATTTTTTTGTGGTAAAAACTGATAGGGAATTTAGATTTTAATAGATTGGCGTGTTATTAATGTTCTAGATTTCATTTTGTTTTATTAAAATCTGCCAAATTCTGTTTCTAAATGAAAACATTCCATTCCATACACAATAGTGATGATTCTAGAAAACAGCTGAGATTTAAATAGGATTTTACTAAAAGGGGCAATTATTTTCAGCAAATCATTATAAAGGTGTCAGAAAAGAATCATTATAGATGTTTCATAGCAATGTATTTTATGATTATATTTCCTTACTTTGGGCAGCAGAGCAATTCGCTGAAGTTGCAGTAACAGATCATCTCACATCCCTTTCCATCCCAGAAATGATCCTGGACGTTTACATCAATCTTTGTCAGCTCAGCTACTCCTTCTGGAAGGCTGTGACAGTTGCGATCTTTTAGTATCTTTCTGTAGCAAGAGAGACGATTTGCAGGCATGGTTTGGACTCCTAGCAGCAGAGTTAGCCCAACGGTGACAAGTACGATAAATTTCATTTTGGCTTTTGTCCCTGAAACAGAAGAAAAATCCAGTGTCAGTGTTGGTTGTTTTTTTAAAGATGTAATTCATCTGAACATAGAGTTCATAGCATTCTCATTGGTAGAAAGGAGTTCATCTTTTCTTTGCACTTCTCAAAGTGTAGTTTGAAAACGATCTATAATAAGAATCACTTAGAATATTTGTTAAAAACTAAATGTCTCAGCTCCACAAAGAAATATTGAATGAGAAATGCTGGATGAGGGGAAGAGGTGGTGGTAAGACCCAGAATTTGCATTTTAAGTACTGAAAGTAATTATTTTTGTACATTCAGAAGATAAAAATTGTTTATAAGGTGATAAAACTCTGATTAAGTTTCTAGGACAAAGCATCAAGTACTGTGGTTCGTGACCTTGCATATCTTAACATTGTCAGAGAACTTGGGTCTCACCCTGATAGAAACAGAAAGCCCATCTATCCTCACACTGACAGAAGATATTCTATAGGTGCATTTATAGTTCAATTAAGTGTTTCAAATCTTCCAAAATTATTTTTGGGACCCATTTTGTTGCAAATTTTTAGTGATATTGTGAACTTTTATTCTTAGATAGATCATTCATCATAGCTTCAGCTGAAAACCATAGCTTGAATTTTCCGTAACATGTAACTTGTTTTTAAACACCAACAATTATGGGGAACTCATTATTGACTAAGTCAATATATTTCACTGATATAGTTCTAATGTTTCCCTTACTGTAAAATATTTTTTGTGGCTACTATCCACCAGTCCTTGTTTGAACTCTTGGGGTCATACCAAAGAAGTTTAATTCCTCTTCCAGGAGATAAGTCTTTAAGTACAGTATTTGTGTACAATTATAGAATATTCATCATCTATATGATCAGCCTTCTCAGCTTCCATATTCAACATGAAAAGAGTGGAGGCTATTTTAGTAAAGGATGACTAACGAGATAGTAGAGGGACCAGAATCAGAATTCCATAGCCATTCAGGTTTCATCTTGTTGACAGGTGCCAAAAAGTATCTTTCCTACAGTGGAGTATTACAAAAAGGGGTGAGACATAAGTTTATTGTGCTTTGAAAGGAAACAATATTGTTGAAAGAAAATTTTAGTATGAAGTTCGCAATAATTAGATACATCTACCAAGGGGGAAATTGTAGGACTTACCTCACTTGTTTCCCATCTCAGGAACCAGTGTCCTACCTTGCTTAAAATCCAGTGTTTTGGCAAAGGTTGTTTCACATATTTTGCCTGTTTGTTGTTGTTCAAGGGAGTGGATAAACCTGGTTCTTTTTACTCCATTTTGGGCAGAAGCAAAACTTTCTATGTTACTTTTACTCTTTGGAGCCACTTATGGAGGACTATGAAGGACAGATGCCCACATCTTATAGATTCTAAAAATGAACTGTGTGGTACTCTAGCAATTTTGATACTTCAGCCTAATTCTCAGAATGGTGTTTCTCCCTCCCTCTACTCTCTTTCCCATACTGAATTATGCTTCCTCTGACTCCCATGAGGTAAGTAGCTATTGGGTCCCAAAATATAACAAGTAAAACCCTTATGATTTGAAGGTGGAGCCATTCCGGCTGCCCCTCCTACTTCTGGAATGATGCTTATATATTTTGTTCTAGATGAAATAGGCTACTAAAATACAGCCTGAAATCATTCTCTTGTCTTTAGGCCTAAATCTTCACATACTTCCTCAGGTGACTTAGAACCTCTCTGCCCATACCAAGGCCAAACTCACAGGGAAAACTGGGAGAAAAGCAGTCAGTATTGGGAAAGTGAGGAAGTTGGAGAATAGCCCTGATGTGGGATTCACAAATAAAGTGATGAAGTAACTATGTGAGAGAGGAAAATAGGAGTGAGCTGGTTTAATTTGATTCAACTTAACAAACTTTGTTTTACTGTTTCCTTTATACCAGGCACTGTCTTAAGTACCAGGAATACCAACAGAATTAAGGAAAATATTAATCAATATCTGAACCGATCCTCTTCCAATAACTCCAGTTTCTTTGAGTTAAGGCTAAAGTTATTGCAATGGCCTCCATATGCAGTTTGGCTCCCCATTACCTCTCTGAAAACATTTAGCCTTCCCTTGGTCATTCTGTTCCAGCTATTCCTCAGAAATACCAGACATATTTTTGCCATAGGGCCTGCATTTAGGTATAGTTTTTCCTGAGCTCATTCATGACTGTTAACTACTGAAGCTTTCTTTTCATTAGATGGCTCTAATTAGAGCCATAATCTGATGAGATAATTTTTAAAAGAGATGAAAAAAATTTTTTCTAAAAAAAAAGTAATGATACTCAGTGTAAAATATGGAAAATACAGAAAAGAACATAGAATAGAAAGAACATAGAAAAGAGACAATTGGTGAAAGTTGAAGGAAGATATGATGCAAGAGTGAAAGAAACAAAGATGATCCTTAAGTTTTTGACCTGAATGCTACTGACATGTCTTAAGCTGAGAAAGAATTGAATGGAGTCAATTTGGGAGGAATGCAAGAGTAAATTTTGGGATCAGTTAAGTTTGAGACTCCTACTAGACGTCCAAGTAAAGATGTTGATAGGTAGGTGAATATGAGTCATCAGGATAATTGTTGATAGTATTTATAGTTATGGGAAAATACAGAAAAGAACATAGAATAAAATTCAACTAGAGTTTCAATGTAGAGAGGACTGTTCACATTTTGCTGTGCTTCTTTTGGGTATCATAGATGAGGGGGCTGAGAAGGAGAAATTGAGATGGCTGGGGCAGGACTCTGGGAATCTCTTTGGACTGGGTAGAAGATAAATCAGATAAAGAGGTTATAAACCAGTGAAGAAGACTGATAACGAAGTTCAAGCTCATAAGATAATAAAAAAGGGGGAAAGATAAGTGATTAGATGGCCAAGGCCTGTTTGGACAAACTCATCTCAAAGACTGGTATTTACTAATATTTATTCTTCAGTGTCTCCATAACACTCTGCTACATAAAAGCAGATGGATTCAAAATCATATATGCTAGCACTCCCTGACCATTTTTGTAGTCCTGTGTCTCTGATATACATGGATCACCATATTTGATATTGTTAAAATATGAGGTTGCCATGTAAGATATGGGGTACCTAGTCAAATTTGAATTTCAGATAAACAATGAATAATTTTTAGTATAAATATATCCAAAATACTACATAGTTTGTACCTCCTGAGCTAGTCTTGATAATTATATTTTGTTAGAAAGTAGCCCAAATCACCCATTTAAAAAATATAGCAATAAAGATGTATAGAGAATTTATTTCCTTATAATTAAAAGGAAGCTTTTCTGCCCTCTTTAGAATCTTTGTATACACTGCTCTGTTTGTGAGAAATGCTTTTTACTTGACTTTCAGGTTTCAGTTTAAATGTCATTTCGTCAAAGGCCTTTCTAATCTGAAGTAGTTTCAGCCTGACTTTCATAGTGTCCTCTTCTTTTCCCTGCTGATATTTATCATCATTTGAATTATGTATTGGTGAGTTTACTCATTTTATATCTATCATTTCCATTCAACAGGAAACTTCACAAGTGCAGTCTTTTTTTTTTTTCAACCACCACATACCTGATGGCTAATACAATGGTTGACTCATATTATACTACTAATGAATACTTCTCTGAAAACACGTTTTTAATCCTGAGCAGGAGTCTGCAATGGTTTCATATTTCCTAAAAGACTGTGACCTTCTTAGAGCTAATCCTCAGGTCTTCCTTCCACTTTTCCTCCACACAAATCATTCATTATTGCAGAGCTAGAAGGCAGTCAGACCTGTCATCTCTTCAACCCTATACATGTGCCTTTCTTATTGCTCTGTCTAATTTCATCCCTTTATATTTATATCTGACCAAACAATCCATTAAGGATAAACCCCAAATTCATCTCTCCTAAGAAGCCTTCCCTGATCCAGCCTGTGCCATTCTAACAGTTCTCTGTTCTCTGTTTCATAGTACTTAAGGATAATCTGTACCTATAAGAACCGTGAATTTGACTAAATAATGCCATGTCATTGTCAGCATTTTTCATAAGCCAGTTACCCATATGAAGAAAATGGCTACAGTTGAAAGTGGGAAATTCACCAAAAGCCATTTGGCCATTTACTGAATTGGTCATTTTATGCTTTTACCTAGAGCTAGGAAGGAAGATCTGGAAAGATCGTAAAGGGTCTTATAGGACATGATAAAGGCTTTAAATTTTATTGAGTGTATTGGGAAACCATTGGAAGATTTTGATGGAATATATCTGATGTATATCTTAAAAATAAATTTTTTTAAAAACTTTATGAAGATGTGTTGTGATGTAAAAAGATTAGAAGTAGAAGAAAAGAGACGATTGGTGAAAGTTGAAGGAAGATATGATGCAAGAGTGAAAGAAACAAAGATGATCCTTAAGTTTTTGACCTGAATGCTACTGACATGTCTTAAGCTGAGAAAGAATTGAATGGAGTCAATTTGGGAGGAATGCAAGAGTAAATTTTGGGATCAGTTAAGTTTGAGACTCCTACTAGACGTCCAAGTGAAGATGTTGATAGGTAGGTGAATATGAGTCATCAGGATAATTGTTGATAGTATTTATAGTTATGGGACTGTCAGGGTAGTGAACATAAATTCAGAAAAGAAGAGACAAAGGGCTGAGGCCTAGCGCAAGCCAATATTCAGAAGACTAAAGAGACGATGCCAGCATCATAAAGCCAAGGACTGTAACAACTTTTTTTTTTGCGCCTTTCTCAGTGCCTGCTTCAATGCTAAACTCACAGTAAGTATTCCAAAAACATTCACTGAAGGAATGAAAAATAAATTTCAAAAAGTAAGTGGGTTTGCTGCCATACCACACACCTCTTCTGACTATGTTCATGCCAAAATATAAAATAGTGTTTCTGTCATAGCCTCAGTCACATACTATGATGGAAAGTTCCACATCTGGCAAGCACTTATTGGTAGTTGTTTTTTTTAACACTTTAGAAATTATATATTTGAACTGAAATCTCCTCTTCTTCCTTTACCTAAGTGCAGATAAATAGCTTTAACTCTTATTTAGCAAGTGGAACAATGTCTGAACCAGTATGTTTCTGCAATGCATTGTTTTTTGTTTTTTTGTTTTTTTCCATTAAAAGACACCAATTTCAATCATTGGCACTCCATCAAGACCATATATTTTCGAGCTCCAACAAGATGAAATGACTTTGGCAAGTTTGAAGCAAATTGCTCTATTTTTTTTTCTTTTTCAGTTGAAGTACATGCACTTAAAATTCCTACTGGAATATATCCAAATTACAAAAGAAAACAAAGCTAGAAGCTGAATATCTGAAGAAATAAGCAAGAGATCCTCAAATATTTATCTATTGGTTTTGTGGACTCAATTTCATGTAATTAATATTGTTCCTAATGTATGATACAATTCCTATTCCAATATTGAGTAGATTGGCATAATATCAATGACATAATATTTACAAAAGCAATGCAGAGCATACAGAATTATAGGCAAAACATTTCCAATTAAGCAATAAATCATTGCTACCATCATACAGATAGGGAATTGCATGCAAATCTTGATTTGCACCTTGTATAAGGGTGTTTGGCATCAGCAAGCTTTCGAATGGTTGGAGTTAAATGGAGACATAAAAATGAAAATTATCCCATTTAATGGCCAAAACCAACAGGGCTGTGTAGTTTAAGTGTTGAGACATTTATGGTGCAATGCTCATATAGGCAGCTGATGTCAATTCTGGGAACTGGTGTTTTTTTAAAAAGTGGAATGAAACAGAGTTGATGAATTAGACAGAAAGGGCAGTCCATTTTTAGGTTTCTTTCAAAACACAGCAAGAGAGAAGCAAAGCTGCAAAAGCAAATGAAAATTACAGCCCAGAACCTGACATTTAAAATATCAAATTTTAGTTGGAAGAAATTAAAATTGCTGTCCAGCCTGTGATGTGTTCCATCATTTTTCTTGGAGAATAAAAATCACTGTTATTTTTAAAAATCTCTCTCCTTTTTATTAACTGTGATAGAGAAGATTTGTGTTAGAATGACTGACCCATGAAGTGAAACTTTTCAAAGTGGACATTAAAGGGATCAAAGTGGGATCAAAGTGGTATCAGAAAGTGGACAAGCCTTTCAAACACCTTTACGGCAGACATGATCAACCCAAATACCCAAAGACATTCATCGGTGGAAAAAAAGAAGTTCATATCCTCCTTGAAGTGATTTGCCTTCAGGTGTCTCCGAGAGTGCTAGAAGATATTAATATTTAGTCTTGCATCATTCTAATTGTTTTCCTGGCCACAATAGGTCATCACGGAGAAAAGGATAGGCATTTGGGAGAGATTTTCAAAGACTGTGTAACTAAGTTATAGAATTTTAAAGAGAAATTTTTATAAGTCCCAAAGGGGAAAAAGGTTCCCTTTATCTTAGCAGTACAGACACTGTGTTATGTTCCATGGGAACTGGCGGGGCAAGGGGTGGTACCAAGGATGAATTCAATGAATTCCCTCTTTGTATCACACATTTATACCAGTTTCTTTTTAGGAATCAGGATTTTTAAAAAGCAAAAAACATTTGCTTTCTTAAACCTTGCAGTTCATGTTGAGTAGGTAATACAGAGATCTAACTACTGCCTTTAAAAAGAAATCATCATCCTCACATAGTTTTGAGAGGTAGAATAATAAGGTCCTGCTGTGTAGAACCAGATGCAGAGTGGACATAAGCATTAATAAGAAATAACAGAGAGGAGGCTGCCTCTATTAACCTATGATTAAGTGACTTTCCCAGTTAAGAAATGTACATTTTCTATTATCTTAAACTGATTATTTTCCTTTTCCCTAAGAAGCATTCTTTTTAAAGTACATACATCATCTCTTCAGAGGGTCTCTCTCTGTCTCTCTCTTCTGACTCAACACATAAATACATTTCTGCTCTAATCTATAGCAACAGTTTAGAGTAGAATAAATGACAAAATGATTTTTAAGAAAAAAATTACATACCCTTTTCTTCTTTCCTTTTGGTCTTCTTGGCAGGAGAATCTTTTAAAATGCTCCAACTCACTGGGTGAGTTTGGGCAGAAGGAGAAGAGAGGAGGTGCTGGAAGGAGGTTCTTTACAAATGAACCTTTGTCTGCCTTGTCTCTCGCCTGGAATTGACAGACCTGCTGCTCCAGCCAAGACTCGCACGGAGGGGAGTGGAAGCCTGGGCTGCAAGAGCTGCCTCCCTTGGGTTCTTACAAACCAGGCGAAGACGAACTAAACAGCTTCTTTACTGAGGGAAATAACGAGTCTATACAAGAACCTCGGGGAGGCAGACTTGGAGCAATAAAATATAAAACCTGAGGGATTTAAAAAGAACACAGAGTGATTTTTACCTTAAGAAAAATGTTACGTGTGCACACAAGCGCATATATGTGTGTTAGAGACAGACAGAGAGAGGCTGAGACAGAGAAATAGGGACAGAGAGACAGAGAGCTAGGGAGAGGAAAACACACGGGAAGAAGGAGGGGGAGGAGGAATGGCTAATACGATACAGGAAAATAGCTGAACACCTCTTCTTTCATAGTTCCTTTGTGCTTTGTCACCAACTTTTCCTTACCATCTAGGTCCCTTGTTACAGCGTTTTGGTTGAAGATATATTCCAACTCTCATTACTAGCCAATGGAATTCAAAAAATAAAGTGACTAGAAAAGAAATATATTCTGTGTCTCAGAAATAAAGTCACAAAAGGAATTTCACTCTGTGTTGAGTAAACTACTGAAATTGTAGCACCTGTTAACTATCCTTCAGTTGTTGGGTTTGTTTGTTTTTTTAATTCAATTTGGAATAGTGTTGCTGGGGGTGGAAATACAATAGAACAAGAATTATCTGGACATAAAATGGAGGGAAGGTCATTCTGGTTTATATCGACAAAGGAGTGAAGGTGAAGGATGGAGCAATAAGTTTGGGGATTACAGGTAGTTTTGCCTTCTGGAACTAGAGATAGTGGAAGACAAGATCAGAGGGAGAGAGAGAAACTAGTTGTTGAAATACCTCATACACTATACTAAATTTTTTTTTTACTTTATTCTGAAGGTAAACAGAAAGATGATGAAAATATTAAAAAGGTTGAGCCTATGAAAGAAGGATGGTGTGAAAGGAAAGAAACGAGATAGGGAGAGGAAGAGCTCTTGCAGTAATTCAGGAGAGAAGACAGTTAGGAAGCAAAACTGAAAAGATCTGAGAGCCAATTAGGTTTTCATGTTTAGGGTAGAGGCAGCTGAGAGATGAGTGGGAGGCTTTATTAAATTTCGGAAGTTTGGGCCCTTGGATGAATGATGCTGTTCTTCATCTAGGAGGAAAAATAGAGAAAGAGAAGCTTTGCCTGGGGTAGGGGTGAGGAGTTAGAAATGAGTTAATGGCGAGTGTTAAATTTAAGGAGCCCTAGGAGCAACTGGGAATATTTAGTAGGCAGTTGGTTAAATGGCTTGGAGCTCAGAAAAAAAGTATGGGCTAGAGAGTTAGAGTTAATCAACTAAATGTCAACTAAATAAGTTATTCAACTAAACGATAGTGAAAGTCATGGCTGTGCCACTTGAAAGTTACTGAGCACCTACTGTGTGCCAGGTACTTCACATGTCTGAACTCATTTATTCCTCTTTATGGCCCTATGAAGTAGATACTATTATTAATCCCACTTTATAAATGAGGAAATCTCACAAATGTTAGATAACCTGCCTGAGATCTCTCACACACATAGCCAGAAAGTTGGCAAGTCCCTGGAAAGTGGTTCTAGTTTCTAGGCTCTTCGCCATTGTGCCTCTTGGAATGGATTATAGAGTGAGAAGAGAATAGGGCTAAGGTCAGAATCCTAGAATGCACTGGCACTTAAGGGACAAGTAGAGAACAAGAAGTACTGGAAAAATAAGGAGAATATTGTCATGGAAATCAAAGGGAGGGCATTTCAGGAAGGATGGAGGTGAGTGGAAGACCCCTGGTGACAACCATTTTGCAGAAGCCACATGTGCACACCCCAAACTGGAGGTATGTAGAGAAATAAAAGCACCAGCCACACCAGAAGCAATTGCCAGCTCTGACAGAGATCAAGTCTCTGGTGTCCCTTTTACTAGAGCTGGCAAAAGTGGCATAGAATTCAAGAAAAGAGTTTTGACTCCACATTTCCTTTGCATGTTTATAAATAACTTTCCTGTGATACTAAATAAAGATTATGCCACAGATAGGGTTAATTTATTTCTATGACTTAAATGTGTAGACATATGTGAGTAAGAGGAGGAAAAGGGAGACCTGCAGCTTCCACTCCACCTTAAGATCTATACATCTTGTTTACTCCAGGTCAACCTAGGCCAGAAGTAAGGTGCCAATCCCTCTATAGGAAAGATGGACTTTCCTATAGAGGGATTTCCTCTTTGTTTTACTCTTATTTCCCTGTGTGTAGAATTCTCTTTTGTTTCCTTTATTGCAATGCTCATTTTGTTCCTGTATTTCATCCATAGCTGTTCAAAATAGTGGATTCATTTTTTATATTCAACAGTATTGAAATCCTTAGCATTACGGTTCTTACATGCCTGCTTCAAGTGGTGAACAACAGCTTTCTGGTAACTATCTAGTGCCTCCTGATCATGCTCCTAGCTGCTTAGGAAAAATGCCCCTGAAAAGCACATTTGGATCTTGGCTTCCTCGTCCCTTGTTGTGTGTCAAACATTTACTTATTACTGGCTGCACTTCCCACTATTGCAAGGGAGAATTTTTGAACATTGTTAAATTTAAAAATGCCCGCCGCTATTCATCCTGATGTCTGTTACACAGAGTTCCTGTTTGAGAAGCAATTGAATTGCAAACCAACTCCTGCAATTGCAGATGCTGCCTTGTGACTTTCAATCTGGGGTTCAAATCTGAAACCACTGTTTGTTTTCTTGTATATAAAAACTTAGCCCTTGTATATAAAAAATTTTGGCCCTGGCCTGGTGGCTCAGTTGGTTGGAATGTCATCACATAAAATGAAAGGTTGTGGGTTCAATCCCCAGTCGGGGTGCAAACTGGAGGTAACTGAGTGATGTTTCTCTCTCACATTGATGTTTCTCTCTCTTCTTCCCTTTCTGTCTCTCTAAAAAAAATCAATAAACATATCCTTGGGTGAGGATTACAAAATAACCCCACCAACCTAAGGTGTTTTGTTTTGTTTTGTTTTGTTTTCTCTCCTGATGGCCTCTTGTTGAACTCAGGTTTATGTTGCTCTGGAGACCACCTGTCTCTTTGAGACAGCTTCTGTAGCCTCCCAAAGTAAACCTCGTATATAACGTAGGTAAGCCTAGTCAGACATATTGTCCAGATTTCTAGAAAACATGTCCTGCTATATTTTTATGTGATACCCTATATACGAGGGGGACCCCCCAAAATGAAATTATCTTTTGGCTGGCAGGCCCCTTGTAGTACAGGCTTTTTCTGCTAAGTGAGTATACCAGGAACCCATCTATATTAGTGTACCAGCTGGCATTATTGTGAGAGTCTGTGTTCAGCTTCAGGGAATTTTTTTTTGAAGACTCTCAATGCATTTGCCCATTTTGTGATGTGTGATTTATAAGCACACTGCCCACACTGTGTTGAGTGTTCAGCAGTATTTCACCAAAAAATGGCATGGCTGCCATGCCCCATCCTCCCTATTCACCCAATCTATCCCTGAGCAAATTTTTTTTTGTTTGTTTCTGCAGGTGAAAAAAGTCCTCAAAGGGAAATGTTTTGCGAATGTGGAAGGTATGAAACAAAAAACGGCAGAAACACTAAAAGGCATCAAAATCAACAAGTTCAAAAACTGTTTTGAGTAGTGGAAAAAACCTATATTTTATCAAATGGAGAGTATACTTTGAAGGTGACTGAAGTTTAAATGTGTAAGAATAAATACACAATTTTTTATAAATAAATTCCAGTTTTTGGGGAGTCCCCCCACATGTGTGTTTTATTCATTTATATTACTTATTTTTTAAAAGATTTTATTTGTTTATATTTTTAGACAGAGGGGAAGGGAAAGAAAAAGAGAGGGAGAGAAATAGCAGTGGTGGTTGCCTCTCACACACCCCCACTGGGGACCTGGCTGGCAACCCAGGGATGTGCCCTAACTGGGAATCAAACTAGGGACACTTTGGTTCTCAGGCCAGTGCTCAATCCACTGAGCCACACCAGCCAGGTTATTTATATAGGTATATGTTGTCATTCTTATGTCTAATCAGGTTCAGTACAAATAGGAAATCCCCACAAATTGGTGACAGAGCCAATTCATGGGTAGAGACACATTTGCTCTAGAACTTAAGCCATTATGTTAAAAGTGTTGGTATTAAATTTGAAAAGCGAGCTGATTAGTGTTTCCTAAACAGACAATCTTAAAATCCTTCTAATAAGATAAAGTTTCAGGAGATGTCTTATTAGATATAAATAATTTTAGACATCAGACATCTGAAGCTTGTGAAAAAAATAATGAGAATACATAAATTCTTCCCCTAATTCCACCTGGGCGCTCATGCATATGACCTGATTTAGAATCTGCAGCTTCTGTGCTCCGTACTTGGCCCCTTTCTCTCGTCTCCCTCAGGCTTAAATCCTCCTGGAGTCACTGCGGGTGGCGGGGCGGGAGGAGCAGCAGCAGGCTTCAACCTTCACAGTTTCCTCCCGGGAGAGAGGTGGGACCTGTTTTCTGTGAGTTGTTCTTGAAAAAAGGAGTTCCTAATAATTACGCTAATGGAAAACTAATTCGCAGTATGTTTGTTGAAATAATAATGAGCCACAGACAAAATTACCTTTTAAAATTCCTTTAAAATAAGTTAAAAAGAAACAATTGACCTGTTTTATTAATTATTTTTGGATTCAGTAAAAGAGTATTCTCTTTATTAAAACTATTTAAAGTTTCTTTTAAGATTTCCTTTGAACTTGGAACATTTGTGCTGAGAATGGTTTTTGGAACTGGGCTGAACAAGATAAACCCGATTACCCAAACTACCAAGGAGCTCGTGTGTAAAATGCTGAGCCGATGCCACTACAACTACCGGATGAGAACTGCTTCCTAGAAGCATTCATATTGGAATACAGTTTCAGAGGTACAATGTACTTGGGAACTGCTGGATTTCCAGCCAGGCACCCATGATAATGAGGC